TATATCTTTTCTATATCAGCATGCATATTTCACGCTTCTCCAGGTGTAGGGGTGAGTGTCTGTGTCTTCATGTTGAGGAAGGAGAAATTCTCTTGTATCTGGTTCTTTTGGCATAGCAGTGGTGGGTTACCTACACGTATGGCTCTCAGGTTCTTATCACAAGCTCAGTTCAACACTGATTGGGGCAAACTTTAAGGAGAGCTACTGTGACTGATCCAGTATAGGGGAACATTCTGGGTAACCTCTGAGCCTTGTCCTCCAGTGAACTGCTCTGTCTTGATTTTTTTAGGGGGATGTAGAAGACAGTAACAGCCAGCTTTTCTGGCTCTGTATCAATTATGCTCTCTGCTGTTTGTTTTGTTTGGGTTTTTTTACAACTGGAAATGTACAAAGTGGCAAAGTACATGATAGATTGTTGCTATAGTGTATATGAAAAAAAATTTTATATTGTTGATCACTGCTTATTATTTGCCACTTTGCTCTTTATACTGTCTTTTGCCAAGCTCTTCAGCTGTTTATCTTCATTAGCAACTCTGTATTTTGCACCACATTTCCCACTCCCACTCCCATCTTATTGACTATGCTGCTCCTTCCTGATACATAAGTGAGGAGCAAATATTTACTGTACAGGAACTTGATGATGAATTACTAAAATACATGATTGCATATAAGCCATATGGAGTACATAAAGAAGTAAGGTAGTTTTGGGGAGAATACCATAAATGGACTTTTTAGCAGTTAGTGCTTATCAGTAAGTATGATAGTAAGTTAATTTTCAAATTATTGAGCCTTTGCATTGATGCTATCAAGTTTGTGCTTCTCTTTGCACGTCCCAGTCTTCACTCCTCCCCCCACCCCTCAATTGCTGTAGCTACTGCTTTTAGCTATAGAAAAAAGCTTAGAGAAAGCAGTCGGGGTTTATTTACAGGTTTGTAAAGAATGTGTTTCTAGAAATTTGGTTTGTGTAGTTTTTGGTTTCATGGTTGAACTAGAAAATGAACATTTTGAAGGTAGATGACCCAAAAGTATATCCTAGGGTTCCTTTCCCACAATATCAAAATATTTCTTCAGGTCAACCTAAATATTTTGTTCAGCCATAATTATTTGCTGAATTTTGGTGTTAATCTACCATTAAAACATCCTAATCCCTTTAAAACTTGAATATTTTAAAATACAGTGGTTTTATTTAAAACAAGTCAAAACATAAATTTCTTTGAACATTTACTCCTTTATTTTATAAGGAGGCAGAGTGCTTGGATTTGACAATTTCTAAACGACCTAATTTCTTTCCTCTGCCCTTAATTATTTTGTTTCTCTGTGAATTTATTGTTTACCAAAAGATTTTCAACCTCTTCTCAGTAGGTTGAAAAAAATTCATTTCCAGCGTATCCAGATTTTTCTTTTTACTTGTCATG